GGGGGGCTGGGGGGTTTGGGGGGGGGGGGGGTTAGGGGGATATGAACCATCAATTTTAGAAACAAAGCATCGTAGGTTGAAGCATAACACGAGTATATGACAACAAGAGTTGTTGTCAAAAGAAGGGGGCTGATAATAATAATTGTTATTATAATGTCATTCTTATCCCTTTAAGTTGATCTAGGTTTTGGAAAAGAACCTTCCAATGGATGATATTTATAAGTCAGAAGATGTGACGTCTGCTCCTATTCGGGTCATCCAACTTCTTTACAATTCAGGGGTGAGTCTTAAATTAAGTTAAACAACAGCTTTTAAGTCATCGCCCATAAAATGAGTCCTTTTTCTCCAATTTTTTTTTGTTTCATAGAGGTTGGAGCATTAATTAAAAATCTCCCACCCACCACATTTTTTCCCTTTTAAATATTCTCTCGTTTTTGATTTATTTTCTTTTCTTATCTTTTCTGAGTTCAAAATGAACCCCCAAAGTTTTTTGGGAATATAATGTCTATTACATATCTAACTGAATTAGGATACTAAATATAATACAGAGTATCTTACATTTGTTCTCTGTGATCTTTTTGTAGAACATTAATTTGAACTTTTTGCTGCAATTAAGGCATAACTAACAACTTAGTTGGGTCAAAATATTGATAAATGAGATCTTTACACAGTTCTTCCATTGTTTGGCAGAATGTGGAAGGCCCGCAAACAGTTGCGTTCAATCTTCCAAATGATGAAACAATAGTGAAGGATAGAGGAACGTCAATGGTTTTGCTTAAGAATGTTTCCGAGGCGAAGTACTATAAGTTCTTTTCTTTTTCATTTTGAATTCTTCAGCTTTTCTTTTCTCTAAATATACGGAGTAATTTTTTTCAAATGTTTGTTTGCCTGTTTCATGACGATCTAGTATCAAAATAATTGGATAGTCCGAGGCGCCTTAGGTCATATTTCTGGCTGGCGTATCTTTTTGCCTTTGGTTGTAACTTGTGTTTGTGGTCTTGAGTCCTGTTGTTTGAATATGTGGATTTCTTCTTCTCTTTCCCTCTTTGCTCTTTTCTTATACTTCTTTTGTGCTTCCTTTGTGCATGTGATTTGCGTGCCCGATTTGCCTGTTGATTTTGCTTCTGTTCTTTTGTATTTGAGCTTGGGATCTCTTGGAAACAATCTCTCTACTTCCAATTAGGGGTAAGGTCTGTGTACACTCACCCCCTGAGACCCTACTTTTGTCAGTTTTACTGGTTGTTTTTTGTTTGCATGGGCTTCTGTGTTTGAGTCGAGGGTCTCTTGGAAACAGTATCTATTACCAAGTAGGGTTAAGATCTACGTGCACATACCCTTTTCAGACGCTGCTTCTTGTAGGATACATGGCTTGTTGTGTAACTCTTTCCAATTGGTAGACTTGATTATGTCTAATTTGCTGGCTGTGGGTGCTTTTGGGCTTATTTTATGCTTCTGCTGCTGCATAGGTTTAAACTCATTCTCCAGCCAATAGCTGATGTGTGTGTTAGCAAAGAACTTCGGAATCTTGTGGATTTTGAATCCTTCTTTACTCACACAATATGTCATGAGTGCTGCCATGGCATTGGCCCTCATACCATCAAACTCCCAAATGGGAAGACATCAACTGTAAGATTGGTGAGTTTTCATTCCAGCACTAATTTATGGGTAAAATTAAATCAACTAACCTAACCACTTTTTGACGGTCTCTTGGAATCTACCTTTCTACTTCCGGGTAGAGGTGAGATTTGCGTACCCACACCCTTCCCTGACCATACTTTTGTGGGATTTTACTATGTTAATTGTTATGGTTTATAAGTGTCTTACTGACAGTTTGATATCTCTTGTCTTATTGTGTGTCATAGGAGCTTGAAGAGCTCCATTCAGCAATGGAAGAAGCTAAAGCAGATATAGTCGGACTGTGGGCCCTAAAATTCCTAATTGATGAGGTATTGAATGAGATATATACCCATGTGATGGGTATATCGGGACCGACTCAAATGTATGTATTATATCAAGTCCCATATACCCAACCCATCTAATCAGATATATATTTAATGTTAGGCCCAAATTGCTAAGGCCTAAGTTATTGGGTTGGGGCAAAATTCACGTGAAATAGGTTGGGTTGAACCCAACCCATAAGTGAGGTAAGTCCACCTAAACTTGGGGTGAGGTGCGGCTAGGCTTAGCATATAAAAATGAATTATCCCATGATCTCGGATATCATGTCCCATGTTCCATCACATTCCTAGAAGGTAGACCGTGAGATATGGTTACTGTTACAATATAAATAACTGTTCTTGGGCCACAACCACAAGCTTGAGCGTTTGGTTGAGTTGGTTCCTTGACAGTTACCAAGACAAGGAGATTGACCCATGTATAGTAAATACTCTTCCTCCATACATGAGGAAGGGATCAAATTCTGAATAGAATAAAGAGTCTCCTAAAAGAAAGTGTGAGTAAATCCTTTCCCTTATGAAAACAATTTTGGAAGTTTTTTTTGGGGAGAGCAAAAAAAGAGAATATTTCTTTTGAGGACAAAGGGAGTATTACCTAATAATTCTCATAAATCACCGTAAATTTCATATTTTCTACAAAAACACTGACTTATTGAATTGCATTTAATAGATTAGCTTATTTCAAAGAAAGATCATCTCTCTCTGCTATATTTTGGCCAGGATTTGCTTCCAAAGAGCCTACTGAAATCAATGTACGTCTCCTTTCTTGCTGGATGCTTCCGCTCTGTGCGCTTTGGGTTAGAGGAAGCCCATGGGTAATTAAGCCTTCATTATATGACATTCATTGTAGTGTTTTTTTGTGTGTCCTTCATAATCGCATGGATTGGATACATTCCGCTAATAATGCTTGTGATTTATTTGGAAACATCGTTATCAGAAAAGGCCAAGCGCTTCAGTTCAACTATATGTTTGAGAAAGGGGCTTTTGTTTTTCAACCCGAGGATGAGACTTTCTCCGTCAACTTCAATAAGGTAAAAAGATGCAATCCTTTCATAAGGGTATATAGTGATCGGTTCAAATATGTATAGTGAATTAGGCCCAATATGCCCAGTTCATTTCATAATTAATACTCCCACATGAAATGCTTCGGGCTAGGGAATAAGACTCATAAGAGATTGATTGCCTACAATAGTACAATCCTCTCCATGTTCCCCATGAATAGTCCCTCCTAGCTTGGAGAGGGGATCACACTCTTGAAATACAAATGCCATATTATCGTTTCATCTCTTTCATATTTACGATGAA